TGCCACCGTCTCGCGTAAGAACTCGACAGATCCAAGAATACCATGCAGCGGCGAACGCAGCTCGTGTGATATAGACGCAATGAATGTGGTTTTGGCACGATCCGCTTTCTGCGCATTGAGTCGTGCTACTTCGCTGGTCACCGAGTTTCCGAATGCTTGGAGATATGGGAGTTCGTTATCCGGGCTCATCAACCTTCCAGCTTGGGTTGTCCAGATAAAGCCGCCTGCAATCCAGCGTTCCGTAGCCGGACACCAGAGTGGCAGGAAGATAAGGCTCCTGACCTTTGGCAGAACTTTAAGGAACTCGGTTGGGATGAATCTTTCTCGCTTCTTGCGCGGTTTCTTGGTGTTAGCGGCGGGTTCGTCGACTGTACGATCGGACTGTTCTGTTTCGGAACGTTCAGACTTCTCATCAGAAGAGTTTATGCCCATGCCATCCTCGTTGTAGTTGAAGAACTTCCCGTACGGATATCGATGGATATAGCGTTCCATGGCAGCTTCGTTGAAGCTGAAGTCCGTGTGTACCAGGGCCGCATTGCCTTCACGTAAAGATAGTCCCACGACAGGACAGGCCTTACTGTCAGTCCCATTTGCATCGGATACGCCATCCGCGGCGACGACTGTCTGTTTCTTGTGCCTTCGTGAAGCCGTCGAATCGCCGGTATCAGTGTTGTGTGTCGCACTCTCGTCGCTACTACCGGCCGTGCGATTGTAGTCGTAGAGATGGGTTCTTATCCCAGCGGTCGAAGTATCGAAGAAGACGACACCATCGGCCTCAGTGCTTTCGCGGATTATACGAGCGGCGCTGTGAAAGATTCGAGCTGCGTCGGATTCGGGGTCACGCTTGCGGTGAGCTTGTCTAGCAGGTACAGACGTGTTGTGGCCTTCTTCTTCGTCAAGGGCTAGTAAGCGAGCGTTCTCGGTCTGCTTCTCCATAGTGGTGGGCCGGTTGCCTTCTTCTCGACTGTCCTGTAAAGAGGAGCGCTCGATGAACTGAGTCAAGCCGCGTACCATGCGCTCACCCTTGTTGCGGTCCATGCTGTCCTTGGCCAGCTCGAGGTGCTCCATGACGGCGGCGGAGACATCTTGCATGAAGCGCAATTCGCCAGCACTGATGCCATCGCGAGGCTTCTCATCAGATACAGCATAGACGCCGATGCGGTGGCCTGCTTTGGTAATGATGGGGACGCCTGCGTAGAACCTCACACCAGGCTCACCCTTGACATAGTCCCTATCGGCGAATCTAGCATCTAGTCTGCAATCAGGTATGACCATGCATTCGCCAGTGTAGGTGCTCCCATCGTCCTCCTTTGCCGTGTAGGTCGAGGAGAAGGTGTGGTAGCAGACAGCATCGGTCTTGGTCAAGATGGCATTGCCCAGCCAGACCTCGTCTTCGGGCTCCTCGGCGACAGGTTTGAACAGCGAGAGGGTGCGCGTGGCCTCGGCAAGAATGTACTGGTGGTGCGAGTCGATCAGCGATACCATTGCTCGCCGGGTGTCAAGTCGAAGCGTGGCGAGCTGCGCAAAGGCAGTCAGGGAGCGGTCCCTTGACGTTTGGGGTTGGAAGCCAGAGTAGGTCAGGCCTTTACCAGAACCGTCGGCAGCGTCAACCAGGCTCTGTGCATCGAGCCATGGGCGGTAGTACCTGTAGGCATCCTTAGCTGCAGCCGACGCGCTTCTATCGCACAATTCAAACCTGTGGAGATCGCGCTCGCGGGCTGCTTCTGGCCACGAGTAGCCCATGGTTCTAGTGTGTTCGTGGGGGACTCAGCATGTCCTTCTAGTAGTATCACAGTACAGCAGAGTATCAGTCCCAAGGGAGAGGCACAACGGTGGGGGGTTTGCGACTGGCAGCGAGGGTGCTTGTCCGTCCCTCTTGCAGGCGAGTGGCTGCCGCTGTCGTCCATTTTGAGTGACATAGTAACTACATCGGTGCTAGGCGGCGGATATCCTGCTCCGCGGGTCATTCCAAGGCAATTGCATTTCTTTTGGCATGGGGGGAAACGAAGAATCCGATCGAGATGCGCCCGTGGTTATTGCCAGGTGACGAAGCGATCGTGCAGTTCCGCTAGTCACCTGTCTAGCCAAATGCCGATCTCCCGCTACGGAACCGATGTCCAGGCACAAAACTTTCAGAACAGCAACTTCTGCGACGTCCATCCGACAACGCCATGTTTGAAGTGCCGGATGCGAAGCGGTGGGTCGACTCGCTAGTGCGCCTGTTATCTGCATACTGACCTTGCCAAGGGTTCGCCGCGCTGAGCTCGAGTCGCCCATATCATCTAGACAATCCTCGCCGGACCCAGATCTCGAAGAGCTGCTGCGATCCAGGATCAACACCGAGTTTACCTATACCACGACCGAAGATGATGTCCACGACATCGCGAAAAGCGACGAAGACGAGACGGAGCTGCGGCTCTTCGCTGCGCCCGCAAACGCTGCTCCACAATCGCTGAAGATTAGAATTTCATCGCCAGGCGCCGATAGCGGAGAGCCAGGACTGATTTTGAAGAAGCCACGGAGCTATTATTTCGCCGACGAACCCACAAGCGAGGAGGAAGACGCCTTCAGAGCGGCCGCCATCGAGGGAAGGAGCGTCCTGGAGCTGTCGCGGCAGCCATGGCCCGGTTGCGCCCTGCCATGGAAGGTGCGCACCATATCGCCAGCCGGCATGAGCAAGGAGGTCCTGGTCGGCAACCCCCCTACACTAGTCACCGTCGAGGACAAGGCACAAAAGCGCACAAGAAAGGGCAAGAAGTCACGCATAGCGATACGGAAGAAGCTTCAGGCGGTAAAAGAGAAGCAGAGTGAGGCAGCACGCCTTGCACAAGAAAAGGAAGAAGCCAAGCGAGAGAAGAACACCCGGAGAAACCGAGAGAAGAAGCTCAAGAAGAAGGCGAAGGAGCAAGCGAAGAAGGCAGCTGATGGAGCCACAGATGGGGCAGCAGAGGCTATGGATGGTGTGGTGGAAGACACTGTGGCCGAGAGTCAACCTGTGGCTGATGGGTCGATATGAGGCGCATCACTGCACCTTTGTTATCTCATCGGCGTTACAAACGAGACTGGCATCGGACGCATGACTCCTCCGGTTGCAAGTAATACTTGCTTGGTCATAGGCACCCTTCACCTGTGCCATGAGGCTACCTTTACCTATGCCGATTCTACGCTAGCAAATACCTCTATTTGTCGACTACAACTGCTTCGTTTCGGTCTACCTGTTTCCACCAACTTACACTCTACGACCCACTCAACTGCCAACATGGACCAGAACTACAACTACAACCAAGCGCATATGAACTTCGACAGCGCTTCTGGTGTCGGCCAGCAGTACGCTCCCGTCTATCCTTTTCTCCAGGAGAGGTTCGGCCCATCCACTCCGCAACACATGGACGAGACCTCAGCTCCGCATTACGACTTTCACAACCACGGCACGAATGGCTACGACACGTTCATGTCTGATGTGATGCCGCATGGTGCCCATTACGAAGGGCACCACAGACCCATGACACCTGAGAGCACACCACATCCTATGGAATCGAATGATGCCCAGTTCCATGTTGCAGTTGAAGAACCGCACCAGTATACTGCAGATATGCAAGAGGAAGAGCCAGAGTTCCCCCCAGACTTCTGGAAGACTCTGATTGATTTCGCGATTCCGGACTTTACCCAGACTTCTATCAACAACATACCCGGTATTCAAGCCTTATATGTCGCCTACGTCTACCGCTATGGACCACTGTCAAGCGCTACAAACGCAACTCGCATGCAGTACGCCAAAGCGCTCGCCTTTGCTCTCCTCACGCACTATTATCCTCCGTCACATAACTACACCGTGCTGCCTACTTCTCCCGGACCCGTGGCAAAGTACGGGATGAACTTCATCTTAGCTGCCGACGATAAGTCAGATATCTGGAAAGAGTTCCACAAGAACAAAGGCAGGGCCTTCCGCCGCAAGGTACCGACTAAAAAAGAGCTCGAGAGGGCGGAAAAAGAAGAGCAAGACGCCAAGGTAGCAGAGTACGCCCAAGGTATTACGCAACTCTTCAACCTGCAGTGGGACCATATTGCGCCTGAGGACATCGCCGCTTTCGTGGTCATGCGCGAGACGGTAGCAACGGATATCAATACTGGTGCGGTTACGTCCGAACAGCACCCGTATACTTACTTTGCTATCATGATTGACAACTTCGACGAAGTCCCTCGCCTCTCCACCAGCAATACTATACACCGCAGCGACGTCCTCACTGACGCCCTGTGCCGAGGTGGCAAGATCCAGAACGGTCACGGTATGTTGCTGTACGGCTCGCGCCTAGAGTTCTACGCCTTTGACCGCGGAAACGAGTGGGTCTATCTTGGAGATGAAGATGGCGACCAGACAACTCAGGACATCGAACCTAAGATGGAATTGCTATGGTCAGGTGGTCAAGGCTTGGAGATGAATCTGCGCACTACCGGTCTGGACATGGTAGACGCAGCGTTTCGAGATGTCGCTGTGAGAGAGGTGGTTTATGCAGCTGAACCAGAGTCTATTCCGGCCGAGGATGTAGGTTCAGCACATGGTGAGGACGACATGGAGGAGTACTAGGGACACTCCAGCGAACTGGAAGGCGAAAAGCGCGTGCAGAGGTTCATTGCTGGCAAGCACTTTCTTGGCGATAAATAAAAAATCTACTTTGATAAGACAAGTGTACTTTATTTCTGCTCGTCCTTCGCCTTACTTGAAGTGTGACGGGCTTTAGACGACCCACCAACGGTCGCTAGCCATGTCCCACTTGCGCGGACACAACTCCGATGCCTGCCACAACGGAGTCTACGGGAGCGTCCGCCCGCTAGCTGATATGCTTGTCATACTACTAATGTGGCGAAGGGCCGAAAGAAAGTGTTGAGATGTGTATATGTGTTCATTGTAGTAGGCTGCCTGACAATGTGTCCACTTCACTTCATGCTACAAGTCATATAATATATACAGACGTGGGCCATTCTCCAACCTCCGCACCACCCTACTTCGCCCCGCCATCAATCCCATCCATCTTCTCAGCAGCCTCTTTGGCAATCCCCCTAACCTCCTCAGTCAACCCCTCCATCTCAGCAAGTTCCACAAACCTCTTCTTCCACAGCGCCCACCTCTGCTTACTAAACTCTGCTCTACCTTCCCATAACGGTCCACCACTACCTGGATTCCCCTCAGTCGCCTTCTTTGGGGTAAGGTCTTGGTCTCTTTCGTAGACTTGTTTGCCCATAGCAAAGATCCAGACGGCAGCTGAGGGGATAAAAGCGTTGTACTTCTGTATCGCCGTACCCTTCGAATCGTCCTTGTGTGGTGTCTCGAGTGCGCTGCGCATTTCCCAGATGCAGTATGTCCAGAAATTAGCCACGTTTTCGCGCGTGATGAGTGCGTAAAAGTAGAGCATGTTGGCATATGCGTGTACTTCTTGCAACATGTAGCCACACTGGCCTCCAGGGCTGTCATTCATAGTCTCGCGCGCGGCCATGCCGAAATGGCGGAGGCAGGTGTACATATCTGAGTCTTTGGCGGTTGGAGGTGGAAAGCTGGCTTTTATCGTCTCCATGAGGGTGACAAGTTTGTTGAGGCCGGTGGTGTCGCGGAAGGGGAGACGTTTGGCAGAGTGGATTATCGAATACCAGAGACAGAGGAAGGGAAGGTCCTTCTTGTTTTGGAGGATGGCGTTGTTGATGGGTTCAATGAGTTTCTTTGCTGCGTCTTTAGCGCTGGTATCGCTACTCAGGTAGTCTTGTACGATTGGATAGAATTTGTCGTCTTCGCTTGGTCCAAAGCATCCTCGCCTCTTCATGATAATGTCGATTTGCGTGGCTTCATCTTGAACATTGGCGATGGCGTCAGCAATCTCGCGGTTTTTCTTTTCTTTTCGCTCTTCCCGAGACATCTTCAATGATTTTTGTATGACTGGAAAGCGTTATCGGTCGGAATGCGATATCTATATGATTGAAGGATATGATGTCAAAGTTGAAGTACGCCCTTCAGCCCTTCAGGCTGCCATCTCCAAGCGCTATTTTGTGGCAACATGCATGCTTTCGCATGTAGTGGAGATCTGCTATGGGCGTTCTTGAATGCTGCCCCGCCATTCGCGCCAGTCTTGTCCTAAATCACTGGAGTAAGCAGGCTATAGAAACGTCAGGGTATGGCCAGTAGAGTAGCGCATAAGTCACGAAGAGCTTAAGGACATGTTTTCCCAATCAGTGTCCCACCACGAATGGCAGCATATACTCGCGGTGTTTCAAGATTCAGGAGATGCCTGGACGTGCTGCTTTACGTGAAGCGGTCGGGCGACGCGCCCAATTCCAACGTTGGAACAAGGTGTGCAAAGATGTGTACAGCGAACGAGTGCCTCTTCGGATGATTCTATCGGCTCAGAAAAGGTCGCGCACATTGGTATGAAGTGGTTGGATCACGAATAGTGGAAGGGTAGCCATGGTTTGGGGTGAAGAAACGTTCGAGTGTGGTGTTGGTAACCGGGGTCTTGCTCCCAAACGCCCAGTAAATTGGAAACAGCGACCCGGGCGCGACCCGACTGCCTCGCACCACCACTAATCTCCAACACTGACACGACGGCATAAAGTGTCCACCACGCGCATCGGCCGCCCACGCCCTCGAACGGCGATCGCACACACAATCATGTCGTCCTACCTAAACAACCTCCTCACAAACACGACTTCGCGCTACAACAATCTGCGACGACAGATCCTCTCGGACGAAGCAGACGGCGACACAGAAGACGACTCGCATCTTTCCAGGGTGCTTCGCGCATACTACACGGAGAAAGGACGGCCGTTCCCGCAATGGCTCCCACCCGACCCAAAGGCGCCCCAGCCTGCGCCCGCCCAGTTCGTGTCTTCGCGACAACAGGCACAAGCACAAACAGCAGGCCGGGGAGGAGGCTTGAACGACCTGTGGGATAGTCCCGCGCCACAACAACCACCGCAAGAACCACAGTCACTTCGTCGAGGGCCAGGAGCACGGGGCGGTGGAGCGCGTCCCATGCAAGGACGGCCCATGGGCAGCTCGTTGACACCAGAGCCTCAAGTACAGGGCAGACCACTGCCCAGCCAACGAGCAGGGAGCTACCAAAGCTCATTGGGAGGACGCCCACAAGCAGAAGCTTCACCACCACCGAGCGCGGGTACAGGGTCGGGCACAACAGCACAGGAAAGGCTCAAGGCCAGGTTATGGGGACGGTCACAGAGCCCAGCACCGCGTGGACTCTCTTCAGAATCTGCCAACTCGCAATCGTCCCCGCAAGGTGGACGGGCGCCCTACCCTGAAGATCGGAGTCACAGCTATGGAAGTACTGGTAGCGGCGGCGGGAGACCACAGGGCTCATTTGGCATGTCATCGAATTCCCCATGGAGCGGGAACGATGATCCGTACGCGCCCCAGGGTGGAGGATATGGCGGCGGCGCACCTCCACCACAACGCGGACCGCAAGGTGGACGTATGGGCCTGCCAAGCGGACCACGCATGCGTTGAGCATCTTCTTCTTGTATGCAGCACGGCGTAACGGAGTTGGATCTTGGTCGTCACTGGGTGGGCAAGCATGGGGTTTGTAGACCTGGACAGTATAGACAAATACCTAATCAATACATTCAGCTCATAATCACTGCAAAGACAGAATTCCGTCCAGAGCTATCTTGCGCACCGTGTTGCAGCTAGAGCACATTACTCGATGGGATGGGGCTGGGGCGACGCGAACCCCGCGAATGCACAGCCACGGGTTCGCTTCGCCACACCGTCATGAGGTCCGGCGCAGGTCACTGCCCGCGCAAGCATCACCTGCAACTGCATAGCGCCAAACGGGTACGCGTCTCTTTCTTGCTTTATCACCGTACTACTCTGAATATCTCCTGCGCATGATATCTGGCCATCTTACTCGGAACCCATCACCAACCTCCACTCCGCGTCTCTGGGACGCCGCCTAGCCCCGCATGACTTCGTCGGCCCCAGCGCCCCCATCGCCCTCGGCCAGCTTCTACGACCTGAGCGACGATGAAGAAGGCGAATACAACACGATCCGCCATACAAGCAGTGGAAAGGGTGTGAAGCTGCTATACACCAAGAGTAAAGTATGTTTAGCCTTCTTGCACGCAGCATGATGAAAGTGGACTAACATGTGCAGGTCTACGTGCATCCCTCGCCTTCCTCCAAAGACAACATCCCAGGCTTCGTCGCTCTCGTCCAGCAGAAGTCTAACCGAACCGTTAACGATGCGCGTCCAACTTCCTCCTCCTCCGCTCGCAGCGTGAACGCGTCGTCGCTACTCCTTGCCTGGATACCAGAGTCAAACCTCGGCGATGCATATGATACATACGTCAAGGTCGATCTGTCCGACTCGTCATCACCTCCCAGACAGTCATACCTCGTACCTCCGCCTCCCACACCATCTACACATGCCGGAACTCCCGGATACGCATTCGCCATACCTGTCAGCGAGATATATTCCGTCCTCATACGGCCACCAAGCATCGGGTGGTGGTTTGGCAGTGTCGTTGTCAATACTCGGGCTGGAGACAGTTTCCCTGCCCTCTTCTTCCACGATAGCGAGTGCCAGTCTACCATAATGCAGCGGAAGAAGCTGGCCAAGGAAAGCTTCGATCCGTTTGGCGACGGAGGGGGCATGTTCTGGGGTGGTGACGAGGTATTGAGATGGCTCAAGAGATACGTCACAGTCGAACGGTCCGGCGCTGATCCAAGCATATACCTTATCGACCCCTCGGAAGACGACAAGCGATCCTTCGGCAAAGACGTTGCACCAAGGAAGAGCACCGAAGGCAAACCAGACGCGTCATCTTCGCAGTCTGGTAAACGGGACGGTGGGATGGATCCGGTCACAAAGGCGCTCAAGGAGGCAAGATGGAACTTCCTGGAGAAGCTTAGCCAGGTCACCACCTTCACGCGAAGGACTGCTCAAGCCGTCGCAGACAACCCCAAGATTCCGCCCCAGGTTAGACGCCTGATCCAGAACCCAGAGGTCCAGACATTACAAGAAGAGTTCGACAGCGCGCGGCTATACCTCGCAAGATGGGCTATGGGCATTGCAGAACAAAGCGAGCGGGAACGGAACCAGCGGATATGGACGGCAAAGGACGTTCTGGCTATGGAGGAGAGCGACGTTGGTGACTTCGAGATCCTTGACATGGATAAGATGACCATGGCCGACCGAAGAAAACCTGTCACGTTGGAAGAATGGAAAGGATTCTTCGACCCCAAGGGCCGGCTACAACTGACACCAGACGAGGTCAAAGACCGCGTCTTCCATGGAGGTCTTGATCCTGACGATGGTGTACGAAAGGAAGCATGGCTCTTCCTTCTCGGCGTGTACGACTGGGACAGCTCAGACGAAGAGCGTCGCGCGAACATTAACAGCAGGCGAGACGAGTACATTCGACTCAAGGGCGCTTGGTGGGAGCGAATGGTTGAAGGCAACCAGAATGAAGAGCAAGAGGAATGGTGGAGAGAACAAAAGAACAGAATAGGTATGTACCCTTGCGCGTTATGCCCTTGCTTGAATACTGGCTGACTTGTCCCATTCTATGGGGTCCGTTGTGTAGAGAAAGACGTACATCGCACAGATCGCAATATCCCCATCTTCGCCGGCGAGGACATTCCTCACCCTGACCCTGACTCGCCTTTTGCGGAAACCGGCACCAACGTTCACTTGGAGCAGATGAAAGACATGCTCCTTACGTACAACGAATACAACAAGGATCTGGGCTACGTTCAGGGCATGAGTGATTTGCTTGCGCCCATCTATGCAGTCATGCAGGATGATGCCGTCGCATTCTGGGGCTTTGTTGGATTCATGGAGCGCATGGTATGTACAAATGCGATGCTTATTGTGATCACGTACAAGAACTCACACGCATACAGGAGCGCAACTTCCTACGCGACCAGTCCGGCATGCGCAAGCAGCTCACGACGCTAGACCACCTCGTACAGCTCATGGACCCCAAGCTGTATCTTCACCTTCAATCCGCTGAGTCTACGAACTTCTTCTTTTTCTTCCGGATGCTGCTCGTCTGGTACAAGCGCGAATTCGAGTGGCCAGATGTACTGCGGTTGTGGGAGTCGCTCTGGACCGACTACCAGAGCAGCAACTTCCACATCTTCATTGCCCTAGCTATTCTGGAAAAGCACCGAGATGTGATTATGGCACATCTGAAGCACTTCGATGAGGTGCTCAAGTATGGTAAGTTATACAATCAAAGCAACCCACATTAATAGTGAATGATGCTAACATTATCATAGTCAACGAGCTCTCCGGTACTATGGATCTTGAATCAACGCTCGTTCGCGCGGAATCGCTCTTCAAGAGGTTTCAGCGAACGGTAGAGACAATCGACAAGAAAGGCAACTTTCCCTCCGCTCCGCAAGCCCGGCAACGCAAGTTGGCTGCTGCAATCGTCGCCGGCCCCGGGCCAAGTACGGCGTCAAGTGCGTCACCAGCGAAAGACCAAGCGTCGACTTCCGGCACAGATAAGGGCAAGCAGGTTGGTGAAGAGGAGCAAGATGAGGCGAGGGTCATCAGTCCTGAGCTACGTGCACTGCTGAGCAGGAAGGTGGAGAAGCTTGACAAGCAGACTATCTTAGAGCACGGTGGTGGTGTTGGCAAGTAAAGCTCGCACGCATCCTTTTCCTTCATCTTTTGAGACGGCGTTACGGTACAGTTGGATATCTGTGTGGTCACATTATGATTTTCTAGATTCAATGAGGTTCCGGTGGTAAGGTCATGCACACTTGCACCAGGGCGGCAACAAGCGGTGTCGCATTTCTAAGGTTTGCTGCATACACAGTACTATATCTTCGTAAGTAGGTAGTATACAATATAATGTATACTTCTACTTTGATATTACTGTATAATGCGACACGAGTTGCTGCCGCCCCTGGTACTTGCGATTATCTATTTTGCACATCACTCCTCATCCACACCTTGGCCAAACATTATAGTTGCTGTCACTTCGCCGTTGGCCACGTAACGGTCACTTCACTACTCTCGCTGCCATCCTCGTTTTCCACTGTATTCAATTGCTGGAAGCGTCCATCTTTACGCTCACGTGTCTACTTTGCAGGTCCGTCTTCACATAGAGTTTGACTCCTTCACACAGCCAACGCCGCGTCCAGCAACATGCACAACCCGCCAACTGTCACCTTTCGTCATGTACATAAAGACGAGTATAACAACAGCAGGCCTTCAATGAATTACCTCAACCGCTTCATCGATCGCCACTCTCCAAACCAGCCGCCGCGCAAAACTGGGCGTTCTGTACAGCCTCCCAACAGTCCCGCCACCTCTTCCCATCGTCACAGATCCTGGTCGCACTCTCACCATCGGCGCAAGCATCGCTATTACGAGAAGATGACGTCCTTCAATGGCCCGTGGTCCAGCGATCTCGAAGCGTTCAAGAAGTCAGTGCAGTCGATGCCAGATCAGTACAAGTCGTCCTTCGCTGCTGCGTCCAAGAGCACTCTCGAAAAGGTCTGCGCCCCAGATGTCCTTCACATCTGGGAGACCGACTCCGATATCGACAGCCTTCTCCAACTCACTTCGGTCATCGCCAAGCTTTGCGACCTCGGCGTGCGCAAGAGTAAGGGCGCGAACGAAAGTGATGGCAGTATGCTGATCATTGCTGAAGAGAGTCGAAGTCGAAATAACTTCGGTCGCATCTGCCAGTTGGTTGAGTATCTGACTGGAGCTGATGGCAAGAAGCATCTCGAAGGCACAGTAGCAGTGTTCAGCAAGATTGTCATAGTGAGGGGATGGGATAACAGCATTCTGTCCGGACAACAGGAGGCGCTCGAGAAGACGGTGAAGAGAGTCAACACGGCAGTCGAGCAGGTACTGAAGATGGGCGGATTGAAGAAGATAGTCTGGCATCACGGCGCTGTACTGCACTTCCTGCTCCAGTGGATCAACATGACAACATCTCCTCTACGATCCGCTTTATCTGCAATCACCATCACGGGATCCCTCAACCTCGCAGACGGAATAGCACCTTCCATCCCCGGTCGAGCGAACAAACTGCCGGATCTCGAGCGCTTGGAACAGTTCGCAAAGAAACTGGACATACCTGTTGTCTTCCTCGATGCACCTAGTCAGTTGCTCAACTTCGAGTATCTGGGAACGTATGTGTACTATTACGCTTACTACATCAACACATTCCTTCCTGCTTCCCTGTCGCGGCCTCACCTCCACAAAGCGCAAGATGAGCTTGTTACCTTTGCATTCCGGCTCCGCGCTGCGAGTGAAGGCAGGTACGGCAGTGACGCAGTGAAGATGGTGCAGAAGCATCTCGATGCGGGCAAGGCGAAGCACTGGGCAAGAATGTGCGTGAGTAAAGAGAACTACGAGAAGAGCAAGTGTCGCGCAGCCGGCAAAGACGAAGCCATCCACCACGCTGTTCAGCTAGCCGATAGCCCTTTCGCCCTTCTAGCCCACGGCGCAGGCGTCCCTGCATTCGCTAGACTAGCAGTCGGTCCCGCCTCTGCTTCCGCACAAGACCACTACACCGCAGCGCCCGTCAATATCGCCTTCACCAAGTCGCAAATCCGACCCACCAGCCCAGCGACCTTCCACATCCTCATCCCACAGTCATCCCAGGATCTCGAAAAAGTCACGAGCCGCGTCCAGGGCCTCATGATGGCCGTGCTAGAGCGCGTAAGACAGGAGAAGGGTAGCCCTGTGCTCGGGGACACGGAGAAAGGGATGTGGAATGCGGTTGTCAAGGCGTGTGAATGGGCGATTGGAGGGTGCGACGAGAGTAAGATGCCCAAGGGAGTGGCGAAGAAAGTTGGATTCGTCAAGGGGAAGTTGAGGGAGGGGACTTGGGGGTTTGCGCTGAACCCACCGAAAGACGTTGGGAAGACTGTTGCGAACAATGTGGCTGCAGTGGCGGCGATGCCGGAACCGAATCGCACGTATGGATTTGGACAGAATACGCAGCAGACTAGGGGGTCGCAGCCGACGTATAATGGGGCTGAGCAGCAGCAGATGCAGATGCCGCAACAGGGCTATGGAGGTGGTATGCCACAGGGGCCTATGCCGAGTCCTGTTCAGGGTGCTGCGTATGCTCAGCAGGTGCCTGGTCAGATGCCGACGCAGGGTATGTACACTGGTGGTCAGGGTCAAGGTCACGTTCAGGGGCATGGTCAAGGTCATACTCAAGGTCAAGACTATGGTGGTGGTCACTTCCCTGGTGGGCAAAGCGCAGTGTTGCCGTCGCATCGTGGGTTTGAACATGGTGGAAGGGGCGGATATCCACAGAGTATGGGCGGGCCTTGGTGATCTGGGTCACAACTTGACGGTACATAAGGGCTCGATTGGATTTGTACAAATGAATATACTGGTAAGAGTGAGCATGTTGATGTCCTTGAAGTGGCTGCTCAAGATGACCTCGGGATGCTGAGTGGTTGAGTTTAGAGCTAACCCGATTTGGTTGGATACAAAAATGGCTGGGTAATGACGTGTGTGTGCAAGCACCCACCGGGTCACGACGCGTCCGCTTCGGTTGCGCGTCGTGCATCACGAACACATCGACATTTATCTCGAGCCATGGCGTTACTAGAAGATCCCGGCCATGCCATAGCAGTTGACGCGCGCTGTTTCTCGCGGACGGTGTGCCTTGTTTCAGACGGATGAACACCCACCCTACCTTCCATCTAATTCCCAAGCTACCTGCCGAACTTTGGGCTTCGGTCTGGGGCTTTCAACTACAGCACGAGAAGTCTCGCTACCATGCTCATGATAGTACGAAGACGGATAAAAGACTCACTGTTACGACTACAATGCTGTGAGCGAGATTGTATATTGGAAGAGGCCGATATCCTTGGCGCGAAGCCCCGTCGTTTGTGGAATACTGGGCTTGAAGACTACATGTAGTTGCCATGAGTGTGTTTGCTGCGCACAAGCCAGGCTTGAGGGGAGTCACTTGCGTGTGACGTCTATTTCACGATGTCGAGCAATCACGGGTTTTATATAACACGCTGATTACAGGCGACAAAAGACGGATCCAACACCGAGTCATCCGACCAACATGCCTCCAAAGAACAATTCCAACTCAGGATACTCAAGCGAACACTCTCCCGACAAGCCAGACGAGGAAGTCCTGTCCGATTTTGAGGAAGACTCATCTTCCAGTTCAGAGTCTCCACCCAAAGAGAAGCGAGTCACCACATCTGAAAGCGAATATGACGATATGGTTACCGTGAGCAAAGACAGCACACCTAGTCCCACCGCAAGCACTCTCCTGATCGAGTTTGAACTTGAGGATATTATGCAGGCAAAAGAGATGAACGAGAAGTGGATGAAGGAGTTAAGTGATGCAGAGAGAGCGAAGAAGATGAAGGAACTGCTGGATGAATGCACTGCCAAGAGGAAGGAGAGGGAAAGAGCAGCGGTGGAAGAAATGAAGAGGAGAATGGAGGAGGATGACGAAGAGGAACAATATGAGGGCAAAGGTAAGGGTAAGCAAGTCTAGGAGCATGTAGGTCTCCACGTTTCTCATTGGAGGGGTTAGTTATTTGACCGTCGAGATTGTTCACTACTTGCAGTCTTGTTTATCGAGAGCTTCCAGCTTAGGCGAATATGCTGACCGGCTCAATTGCTTTTCCGATGTCCTAATGATGCGCATGCGGCATACGCAGGTGCTTTGCTCGCCTCCACTTCACTGCGCATTGTGCGCTCACTAAAACAATGGATCGCCCAGCTTACGCTTCGCCTCTTTCACTTTCTATTGTTTGTTCATTGAAGACGAAAGCCCAGAAGACTGGCAAGTACAATAGAACAAAGACTGTCATCTCAACACGCTACAACAAACGTAGTTCAAGAAGACGATAACCGCAGTTTCCGTCTCTCCTACCACTTTGTCTCCTACGTCCATCTGCTACTCAAAATACGCATCCAGAACTTAATCCGTGGTATACAATAACTTTGCAGAACTCCTAATATGGTTCGAGAAGGCCGCGAACAAGCTGAACGGCGAAGCACTGCGAACGGCATAAGCAAGAAATGGAGGATAACGCGCCGAAACAAGCGCCCAAGAGGCCTCGTCAACCAACAAAACAGTTGCTATCGCCACGGCGCCCTGCAACCTCTACTTCACCTTCCTCGATTCGTCAATTGGATCAAGACACACAATGTTTTGAACCACTGGCCCTGTCATGCAAATGACCCGAACCGCCAGCTGCCAACAGATCCCTTGACGCTGCGAGCCATTGAAAAGAAAATCATAGAGGCCAAGGCGAAGAACATTGAAAATTACAAAGAGGATGAGGCATACAAGGGGTGTGTTCCTTGCCTTTTGAAGAAATTGATGACAGCCTATTGGAACAACACTTTGATCCGGCCAAACCTTGTACCCCGGCCTCTTCCCCATTATCATCCGGCCATACTACCATTGCACCAACTGATAGAGCGATGGTATTGTGTCGACCCTCCGAATCATAGACATACTGGAAATCAAGCCACAATCGCGGCAAGAAGAGATCACATGACGGCTCAGCAAGATGCAGATGAGTTCACAGGATATATCTTCGACGGTATAGAGTCCAGTTATGATCGCTCGTAAGTCTTCCCTCGCCCAAATACAAAGCCATGTCTCCTTGTTCCATGCTAACCACCGGTAGGACTATTCATGGAGCGGTCCGTGGGGCTGAATGCGACTCACTCTTCGGCGTTAGAAAGCGGGTGAGATACACTTGCGATCATTGTCACAATTCCCAGGTCGATGGGTTTGAAGATGAACCTCGCGGTTTAAGAATCATTCCAAGTAACAATAACAACAATGACACGGTCGCCAATGCCATTGCACGATCTCTGACCGACACGCGCAAAGGTCATTGCGATACTTGTAATAACGAAGATTCGGACTTCACCGGGACGCATTCCATCATAGCTGCACCGGAATATCTCCGCATCTACCTCTCGCTTGCCCTAATCACTAAACGTTCCGTCACGAATGGAAAAGGTGAAACGGTAGTGGCTGCAACCTTGACGAAGAATCGCAATCACATCATCATCCCCGACATCCTCGACTTGACACAACACATGGATTACTTCGCAACGATGCAGAATCCTGACCCGGTACGCTATAAGCTTGTTTCTGCTACATACCACAAAGGAGATCAACTTAATGCGGGTCACTACACGGCCGCTGTTACAGGGCACATGCTACCGGGTCAACGGGTACGACCACAGTTCTTTTGTGATGATGCGAATATTATTGATCTGCCTCCAACTGCTGCTCACCCAAATACCATTACGGAGAATCCTATACGGGGCTACTTTGATGCTGTTACTCTCTACTATGAGCGGATTGCGCCAACTGGTGGCACTTTGACTCCAGCTAATAAGCTGTCAAAGGCAGATCTGAAAGTTGTAGAGGAGGGGAAGGGCAGAAGTGATCCTCCGCCCAGGAGCTGCAAAGGGAAGAAAGAGGGGAACGAGGATGAGAAGAAAGGGAATAGGAGTAGGAAGAGAAAGAATAATGAGACGAAAGACGACGAAGTTCAGGAAGAAAAGACCCAGAAGGGGAGAGGAAAGGGGAAGGGGAAGGGGAAGGCATCTGAAAACGAACAAGAACTGAATGAGCGGGTGAAAATGTCCGAACCTATGGATCAGAGCTCTTGGGACGCCCTTCAACAGGCTTATGATCTATCAAAGGCACCCGGACCTCTGGACCAAAACATTTGGACTGCCTTTGGCCAGCTCTGTAGTCTGTAACTGTATTCGTAGCTGTATCACCAAATCTGTCCACCTCTCATGTACTTGCCCCGTGATGCTGACACAAATTGGGAAGCCAATCGTTCGAAGAGGACGTACCAATAATTGGATTGCACGCTTTCTCTGTCGCAACAGGACATCCTTGTCACTGCCTAAACCACGCCTATGGTTGCTGCACACCACGAAGCTGATTCAGGTGAGCAATGCCGCCTGTAATCCGACGTTCTTAAGATGGCCCAGTATCGCGTGGGGTCTGGTATGAGTGAGACAGGCTCCGCAATGAGAGTGACTGGCAGGCCAAAAAGGATCTTCGCTATGGCACCGGCAGTGGGTGACTCTCCTAGCGACACACTTGTGCGGGTACAGCTCTTCTCTCGGTGTTTATGCGGCCACTGGAAGAGCTGTGCAGGCATCATTACCTTTTGCTTGACCGCATCAAGTCCAAGCGGACTCAAAGACGGTTCCTGGACGCTTACTTCATTAATCCTCCGAAGCTAGGAAAGAACGCAACAGCGACAAATGGGACTCGTTGCCGAAAAGACATCCTCCGTAGCCCAACGCTGGTTGGTCGGGGTCCAGGGTAAGTGAAAGCATGTTAACGTGTGCCAGACAGTCGGTGTACTGACATGGAATCCGCGCATTCTAGCTCACTTTTGGAAGGCTCCTAGGTTCGTACTGTGGTATCCCGATTCCCCGAGTGGGGGTTCGGTACTGTCTGGATTGGCCCGATGGTCGTGCCTAGCGGGTTTTGACGAATAGGAAATCATGGCGCAGAAGTGGCGATATCTCCAAACTCCAGAAAAGTACCACCGCGCCGCGGCAAGGGATCCTGCCACATGGGAACCGCTGGTTGTACATGACGCTACGAGTCAAGATAAATTCTAGGATCGTGAGCACCTGACCTTACGACGTTACACCGCGGCACCGGGAACATGACGATCACCATCCCTGAGGCTTCACCGACACTCAGATACGAAAACGTCAAAGAAATCTTACATCCGCCGGTTAAGATATCCTTCTAGGTGCCGAATTCTGTCCGTGTATAACTACATATGCTTGCAGTAGTACGACTGGCAGTCAACTCCAACTGAGACGAACATCGCGACTACTTACCTCAAGATGGATACCTTGGCCAACAACACGCATCCGAAGTGGTGGAAAGATCCGGGCATGAAGAAACTCAATTTCTTGCTCCTTTCAAGCTACATAGGCGCCATCACGAACGGTTACATCAGCTCCCTCATCTCCAATCTCATTGCCAACCCCAGATACTTCCAAGATATACAAGGTCTTTCCCACCCGAAGCTGCTCGGGCTAGTCACCGCTGCCCAGTCCATGGGATGCATCGCTGCTTTCTTTCCAGCACCCTGGCTATCAGACAAGTACGGCCGCCGTGTAGGCATCATCTTTGGCAACATTGGAATGATAGCCGGCTTTACGGGGCAGATATTCTGCACAAGATTCGATCAGTTTCTTGGGATGCGTATACTCGTCGGCTTTTCGAGCATTTCCAACACTATTTCATCCTCCGCCCTACTCGTCGAGCTTGCACATCCACGACAGAGGGCTGTTGCAGGTGCGCTTTTCAACACGTGCTACTTCATCGGCTCCATCACTGCGGCTTGGGCGTCTTACGGAGCTTTGAGAATACCGGGTTCGTGGTCATGGAAACTCCCGGTAGCGATTCAGCTGTTCTGGTCACTGGCGCAGCTGAGTCTGATCACGTTCTGCCCCGAGTCGCCTAGGTGGCTTGTACGACACGGGCAACAAGAGAAGGCCAAGTCAATCATGATACGATACCATGCCAATGGACTTGATGGTGATGAGCTAGTGTCATCCGAGTTCGCGCGCATGTGCGCATCGACGGCGGCTGAGGCTCAGAACAATACAACGGGCTGGTTGGCATTGCTTGCGACACCGGGCAACCGCAAACGCCTCGTACTTTCTGTGGTCATCGCCGTAGCTACTCAATGGGTCGGAAACGGAATCATCAGCTTCTACTTGGCGCCGGTTTTACGCACAGTCGGTATCACAAACTCCCTCCACCAACAAGGCATCAACGGCGGGCTTCAAGTTTACGTCTGGCTCTTAGCATGTGCTGCCGCACTGTTGTGCGAGAAGGCTGGTCGACGCCGCCTCTTCTTAACATCCACGAGCTTAATGCTGGTCTTCATGGTGCTGATAACCATCTGCTCAGCGCTCTACTCAACGACCGGCTCCGCGTCTGCAGGCTATGCCGTCATCGTATTTCTCTTCCTCTTCTTCGGCGGCTACGTTATCGGCCTGACACCCATACCCATCCTCTACGTTAACGAAATATGGCCCAGTCATCTCCGGACTAAAGGCACAAGTGTGTTTTGGGTATCGCAAGCCGTGTCTATCACCTTCAATCAGTTTGTAAATCCTGTGGCGATCGATAAGATTGCCTGGAAATACTACTTGGTGTACATTGGTGTTTTGGTCGCTGTTATCAACTTCATCTTCTTCTATGTGCCGGAAACGAAGGGCCTGTCGCTGGAGCAAATTAGTAGCATTTTCGATCCGGTGCAGGATGTCACTGTCGAACTGGCAGAAGTTAGAAGGCGAGATGAGGCGTAGAGGTTACATGGTGTGGACGTGGGGTGCAAGATCGGAGCGGACTCACCTCATACACAAAAAAAGCTGGACAGGTTTGTACAGACGCGGTACTTGAACAGAATCAGGTCAAACCGCTAGATAGGCAAGCGAGCCGTCTACGGTTTATGACCATCAATCTCCAATCATACCAGATTTGAATAGCCTAAAGTAACAATAAAGTGGACATCAGATACAATTTTCAGTGGAGTCTTTTCGTATATCAATAGTAAAGTATGTCAGCCATCATGTTTGTAATCAGGCCGAAGTTCGACCGATCATCTTCACAGCAGCTGTGCCGAGAGGAGATGGATGGTTAAATACGTAGTACCCATGCACACGCATTTTCTCGAAGCTTAGCTGGGTTAACCCAATTCTATCGTCATTCCTCTACAATCTCAATTCAAACCCCCAGTGATTGTACCTGTCTTCACAGCCCAAACCATTACACGACGACCACCATGTCCGCCCTCCTCGCCAACAAACCCCTTCTCGGCCCACTCGTCGGCCTAAACATCTGGACCTTTGCCATGGAAGCGCTCCTCTACAAGCGCAGAATCCCAGCCCTTTCCCAATACGACATCAGCTTCGACCCGGCAACCGTCAAGAAGCAAAAAGACGAAAAGCTACCGGCCTTCGTCAAGTGGCCTGCGGACAACTTCAACAACTTACTCGAACAACCCACTCAGTTCTACGCCGTATTGCTGGGATTGAGCCTTTTGGATGTAAAGGAGAAGAGGACCGTTGCTTTGGCGTGGGCTTATGTCGGCTTGAGATTCGTACACAGCATTATTCATGTTTCGACGAATAACGTTTCCCTGCGCTTTCCGGTCTTTGCTGCGAGTTCGGTTGCGCTTCTGGGACTCACGGCCGAGGCGGCATGGAAGCTGATCTTCTAGGAGATTTGGCTGTGGTGGTAATACTCGTGTCGGAAGGAAGATTCAAACAGATATGGGTATCTGGAACAGGCCTAGCTAGAAGTGAAGAGTTAACTCGACTTTTGGTCATTGTACATCAGAAAAAGAATATTCGAGAGAACTTTAAGAATATTTCCATGAAGCCTGTTGCGCAGAGAACAAGATAGTTACTCTTTGCATGCTGCGCCGTACGTCCTATCTCCCGCAGCCTCTGGGATGAGCTGTCACTTGATCTTTACGCCTGTTGACAAGCTGGGTACGACCAAACAGAAGATGATGACTATCGGGCATGTCTTCTGGATGGCGTAGCGAGGAGGTGTCTATCCTCTGTGTAGTGAGACAGCTCTTATTGAACCAATTCTCCTCCTCTTATCCATTGCGGAGCGGGGTATCGTAGTATTCGTCCTTGGTGGAAGTGCGCCGCATGCAACTTCGTATGTCTTGCGTTTGCATCTCCCTATGGCCTTCTCGTCCCACATTTTTCTATTCCTTCTCGTCTCTTCGAACTCAAGCCTTCTTCTCCGCTTCAGTGCCCTGCCACGCCAGATTCCATCTCCTCTTCAGCACATCTATGCTCTCCTGTGAGGTCCGGCCCTTCTCTTTCTCCTCGCGATTTATCCGTGTGAAGGCAGCGGCGAGACCGATGGATATGGCGAAAAGAGGGTCGAGACTTCTGTGCGACTTGTTAGTCTCTAAGTCCAAGGTCGACGAGAGGGGAAGACGCACTTTGATATGATGTATTGGGCCGCCATGACTGCGGGGTCTCAGGATGGTCTTTCGGAAGTGATTCGATTGCGAATGAGTGGTGGAGTGTTCAGGCAACTACGATGGTTCTGCAGGTACAAGTTGGCAAGGACAGAAATGCACGTCAGTCTCGATCAACTTCTCAGATCGCGTCCATCAAAGATCCACTGCACCTGCATTTGCTGTGGTCCGTGCCTGCCGCCGGCTGGAGCTTCCCCACGTCCGCGGTCGCGCCATGCGGACTACTTGGGCAAGCACGCGTCAAAAGCCGCTTGGAAAGCATGTCATTGTTTCAGAAGGTGCTAGAACAGTTCATGTCGCTTTGATTATCTATGTTGTGCATCCAGTCTGCATGCAGCTGGTTGTGTTGAGGTGGTGAGGCGTCTGGTGAGGCGGGTGATGGCGTCATGGGTTTCAGCCCGGAGGAGCCGCAAGTCACGCTGCCTTGTCAGGTACAGATAGCGCTTCACGGGATACATGCGAGACGTCACAGATGGGGTCATGTGAAGATGGTGGTCTTGGATTAAGTCTGATGCATTTGGGCTGAAATGTGATGATCAAGCTACAGGTACAGCACAAAAGAGAAAGCCAATCTGTCCGACCGCCACTCGTCATATCCGTGGAGCTCCATCTCCAGCGGAATGCATTCTTACTGTATTGTGCTTGATCCGCCTCATTCTCAGATGATGTTTACCTAGTGCTGAGTGCCGAGGAGTCTGCCGTCGCACCAAATCGCTGATCAAGGATACCGATCCTTCACCCAGCCCGTGTAGTGTTGCCATGAAATAATGAAGAAACCCGTGATCCGATAACGCCTGTGAGTTCGCCGCGGCCTTGATAACCGATAGATAAGGGGATGCGGGATGGAGTAAGCTCCCTAGATGGCCTCGCCGAACGTGTTCTCGCCTGAGTACCTATGAGGTTGTTAGCAGCTGCATCGCGTTGCGCGGCGAACGGATTACGTACGTAATGTACAAGAAGCCATCCTCATCCTTGTGCTCCTCGTATATCGAACTCATGAGAGCGGCGGTAGGGGGCAGGACCTCATCAACGAAGATGAAGATGGCCTTCTCAGGCGACAGCTTGATGCGCTTACGGATCACGTAGACGAACTGTCCGACGGTCAGGTCGGCGGGTACCAGGTACTTCTTCTTGTCGATGGTCGCGATGTCCGACTTCTCGACCTTCTCGCAGATAACCTGCGCCTTGTTAGCTGCGGCCGCTGTGAGGGAGATGAACAGGCAGGAGGCAAACGTACGGGAATGCGGTCGTTGTACTTCTGGCGAATGCGCTCGGCCTCGGCCTTGCGCTTCTCGAACGGGTGCTCGTCCTTGAACTTGGAACGCATCTTGGGTATGTGTAAGAGTGATGGGTAGTGTATGTGAGTGTGTAGAGTGAGCAGGCGGGAGTTTTGTCAGTGGTGCGGGTGGAGATGTAGGACGCTGAGGGTGCGGGCGGTGTGGGAGTTTAAGGGCAGGCAGCAGAGCGGGGCGAATCACTTCCAGCCTTACCTAACCATGGCCCGTACCAACGCCCAAGTCAGTCACCACTCATGCACATGCCCTATGCAACAGACGACCAACGCTTCACGCGCCAGCCAAGTGCTCTCTGGAAATCAGAGACAGTGCAATCAGCCCTCTTTCGTCATGCGAATGCAGCCCTTTTCACCCGTGAAGAGCGACCTGGTCCTCGTCTATGGCTGTGCTGACCGCTTCGCCCACCAAGTCACTTGCTAAGCTCCCATGACCTGGATCTCCCGGACGCATTCAAGGTTGAGTCATCCATCGGCTTGAGCACCGCCACTGCAGGCATGCGCCGTGACGCGATCTTGAACTTGACGTAGGCTACATCATTGCATCGTTCGAAGTCAACGCGTTGGACACGCGCGTTGGCAGGCCTGTAGCGCGTCCGAGCACCAGACCGCTCATAGCAACGTAGCTGTCTCTTCAGACGCCTTCTATGACAGCGCGACCGATCACTTTCCATGCACCGTGAGATGCCCGTCAGGATACCATATAGCAGTTACGCGCCCTGTCTAGCGAGTACCGCCAACGAACCCTCAAGATGTCGCTACCGCATGTTGCGCGTCTGCAGATAGGTGCACATGTGTCTTTGAGCACTCAACCCGTTAAAAGCCGACGCCATTACAATTCAAAGTAAGCGCTTTCGCGCGTCCTCACCTTCGGTGTCTGTAACGGCAAGTTTGCCGTATTTGCATGATGCAGGTACCGATACCGCTAGTAGGAGTACCGAGGAGCTCCACTGATGATGCGCCCACCGTGGTGTGATGCACGACAACTTTCCAAACCACCGACTTTCTCCCACAGACTTGATATAATTCAATTCGCGACTATCACACACTTCCAATGATCTCCACGCGGTGAACGTCTTCTCAAGATTCCACACGCCCGCCATGCGTCCATTCCGATCTTCACTCCGCATCTCGAGAGCTCTCGAGCTTCCCCACAGCCATGCGCCGCAACCAACACTACGCCCGAATCACATCTGCAATAGACAATTACACGCTTCACCAAGACGCCGCCTAGACCTACCCTCAGGCAAGAAACCGGAGAAGCCGGATCCTTTGGAAGAATGGCGTAATCCTCCACCGAGCAAATGGCCGAACAGGATACGGTTGCTATTTGTACCCTTCATTGGGGCTTTGGTCTACTCCATGGTACACAGAGACCCTGAATATTGCCTTGAACCTTATTAACCATGTCGCAGTGGACGGACAACACAATCAAGACCGAAGCACCCTCCATCGCCGAGAAGGATGCCCTGCTCAAGCGTGAGAATGGCGTCTCCGAGCAATCACCCATGCGCCTCCGAATGGAGCAATTCATAAAGCAAAACCAGAAGGAGATTGTGGCTGAGTTGGAGAAGGTCGATGGCACCAAGTTCAAGATCGACACATGGCAGCGACCAGAAGGCGGTGGTGGCATCACTTGTATCCTGCAAGACGGCAACGTGTTCGAGAAGGGAGGCGTGAACACCTCAGTCGTATACGGGCGCTTGCCTAAAGCCGCCATACAGAAGATGCGCGCCAACCACAAAGCTCTCGACCCCAACGTCGATTCGCTCGAGTTCTTCGCGGCAGGCCTATCCATGGTCCTTCACCCCCACAACCCCAACGCGCCGACCGTGCACCTCAACTATCGTTACTTCGAGACCGCCGACGAGCTGGGCAACACAAACGCATGGTGGTACGGCGGCGGCTGCGATCTCACACCCTCTTACCTTTACGATGAAGACGCGATACACTTCCACGGCGCTATCAAGCAAGCCTGCGATAAGCACGACAAGGCATACTACCCGCGCTTCAAGAAATGGTGCGACGAATACTTCAGCAACAAGCACCGGGGCGAGACACGAGGTGTAGGCGGCATCTTCTTCGACGACCTCGACGAGACGGAGAAGGATCAGGAACAACTATTCTCATTCATTCAGGACTGCTTGTCCGCTTTCCTGCCTTCGTATCTGCCCATCATTAACAGGCGGAAGGACATGCCTTACACAGACGAAATGAAGCAGTGGCAGCAGATCCGTAGAGGACGCTATGTCGAGTTCAACCTTGTGCACGACCGTGGAACGGCCTTTGGTCTGAACACACCTGGTGCGCGGGTTGAGAGTATTCTCATGAGTTTGCCTCTTACGGCAAGGTGGCAGTATATGCATGAACCTGCAAAGGGTAGCAGGGAGGAACGCTTAATAGAGGTCCTCAAGAATCCGAAGGAGTGGGTGTAGAAAGTTGGGACGGGGACTTGTGCATAGATATATCATGACGGAATATACGAGTCGAAGTAGGAGACATCCATGTATTGAAATATGTGATTGCTACCATTGATTACCGTCAATGAAATTTACGTAGAAGCCCAAATATTATATGGCTTTGTCAAAACGTCAACGCCACGCTATGCTGCAAAAGCCGACCATCGTTGCCTTTTCTGAAAAATGGTCAAACGTCCACGACTCGAAGTAGAAACTAATGTCTAATAAGCCCTAACCTTCTTTCCATCGCCATTGGCACCAAGATCCGCCTTCCTCTTTCCAAGTACTGAGTCAGGCGTGCCTGGCGCCTCAATACCAACACCCTTGCCGTAAACCTCCTCAAAACAAGTAGCATGGTATATCTTACCACCCACGCTTACGGCATCCATCCACACAAAGTCGTTGGCCTCCACATTCCACTGCGTCTCGAATTTGTCCTGGCAGATGGGGCACGGTGCCTGCTGTAGTGTGACGTCTTGTGGTACGCTCACGTAGCGATCCTTGGCCTGTTTCTTCGGTTTAACACCACCTGTACCAGAGGAACCGTCGTTGGACTGGTTAGGGGCTGTCTCGTCGACCTCGCGGTACTCAATCCACTCCTTTTCGGGAATGTACCAGCTGCGGTGTACACCTCGCTTCGCGGCATCCGGGTCCTTGACTTTGAAATGCCAGTCCATATGGCGTGCTTTCTTCTCTTTGCCTTCGGGTGTGCTCTCAAAGCGACGGCCACATGTGGCGCATATGTTGGGCTTGGCTTCGTAAAGGCGGGATATGAGGTGAAGACGAGGCTTCTTCATTGATGCTGTGGTGAGCTCGATCTGTTCCATCAAGCTACCCGGCGCAAGTGGCTGTTGTGTGACCGGCTGGGATTGAATTGGCGTTGGGTTTGCCGGTATACCACCAGGTACACCACCCAGAGCTTTCAAAAGCCACTCGGCGGATCCAAGGGCTGGAGCCGCAGCAACAGGTTGTGGTGGTAACTGAGGAGCGGGAGTGCTCTGTACAGGCGTGGGTGGCATTGAGGGTGGCATGGCACCAGGTTTGCTGAACTGCGCAAGCAGAGCAGCGAGATTGGCAGTGGGTGTCGCGGACTGGGTGGGCGGAGGAACCTGAGGTGCCTGTACTGGAGTCGAGACTGGGGGTGGGAAGCCTTGGAATGGCATCTGAAACGGGGCTGGGGCAGGTACTGAGTTCGGTTGTGCTGGGGAAGATACACGTTTGAGTAGCTCTGCCAAGTTCAAGGCAGGTGGATTCGGGGTTGGTGCGGGTTGCGGAGTCGACTGTGGTGGTGGTCGGAAGCCTGCCAGAAGTTGCGCGACATTCGGCGGAGCGCTGCTCGGGGGTGCACCCATCGGAGAAAAGTTGGGCGGATAGCCTTGGGGCATTGCCTGTTGTGGTGGGTACACTGGCGTAGAAGGAGCAAAGGTCGGTGTTGGTGCTGGTGGAGGTGCTAATGCTCGGACCTGCTGACGTACAGCCTCTAGTTGTTGAGGAGGTAACGTCTGTGTGTCCAGGATCTGCTTGAGGGACAGGAGTGCCGACAGTTTTGTACGCAAAGCAGCGTCAGCTGGGTTGTGCGCGAACATGTTCTGTGTTGTGCTAATAAGCTGTGTCAATTCCACCTTCAAGTCGGCAAGATCCACCGATGACATGGGCTGAGCATGCGGCTGATGCTGCTGGTATACAGGTGGTGTGGACGCGTGTGATGGTGGATATTGAGGTGTCGGGGGTTGTGACTAGAAGGTTTGTTAGCGAAAATGTCTGAAACTTATATGGAAAACCTACCGGTCGAGCACGCGGATCATTGGGAGCGGCGTACCGTGGTCCAGTTTGCGGCGGTGTGGATGTACCTCTCCAGGCGACATTGAGTGAAGGAGGACGAGGAGGGAGCGCGTGTTGCGGCCGAATTTGTTGCTGAGCTGCGCGGAATTTAGCCAGTGCATTCTCGATGTCCTGTGTCACGTCGGCTTGAAACACAGGGCGAGGGTCCATCGACTCGGGCACAGGCATCTTCCACGTCCTCAGCAAGCCTTCCATATTCTTGCGTGTGTTTTGATCCATCACGAGATAGGCGTCCATAAAGGTTCTGTAAAGGTTGCGACCAATGTAGACGGTGTATGGCGTACCAACATTCTTAACAATCGAGTCAAGGACGTAGAGGGCTGGAAGCTTCCATTCGGGGCGAGTCTATGCCATGTCAGTCACCGGTGGATAGAGTAAGTTTGAACTGAAAGATAGAGTTGTTAGTCTACACGCGTCCAGGACGTACCGATTGGATATGCTTCTGGAGCTCGTTGGATATGGCTTCCGCATACTCTGTGTTTTCTTTGGCGATGAGGGTTAGATTGCTAATCTCAGGTCTGCTGTTCATCCTCAAATCTTGCAGGGCATCCCGAAAGTCGGCAGCCACTTCAGCAGCTGACACAGACATGATGGGCAAGAAGTTCTGGGGTTAGACAAGAGGGGATGTGTGCTGTGTTAGAAGACGTGAAACTTGCGCGCAAAGGGCAGGGTGAGCGGCTGACTCTGCGGTCGGGGAGTCGCAACGCTGACGATGTCGATGCCAGATGAACAAGA